GTTTTAGAAAAATTAAGAGACCACAGAATGCATAAGTTGTAAAATTGTAACCTAAATCACATTTAAATCTAAAACTTATCAAAAATGTCATATTTTAGCCATCAAATTGATTTAAGGGACATATGAACAATCAGTAAATGCTGGTTTTATTGCAAAAGCTTTTTAAAATACTATTATTAACAACTCAGTTTTGTCTGTTATGTTGTTGATAATAATGGGTGTCCAAATACGAATAAAACAGACAATAATATAAAGGCTTTAATGCTTGAGGTTGGAGAATATTTTTTGAAAGTTTAAATTGTGCCCAATTATGTTTGCTATTTTAAAATATAATCAATACACTTTTAAAAATGAGTTTGCTCAAGCTGAAATATTACCAAATGCCAGGAATGACCCTTACACCAATTCTACCAACTGTATTTTTCTCACTCTAAAGATACCCAGAAACCAGACTGCCTTACTACAGGTCAGAGTTTACTCATATTTCCACTCATATTTGTATAGTACATTGTCATTTTAAAGGATGTAATGCATTCCCAAAAGGCCAGACAGACTTACTACATTTGAGATTTATCCATATATCTATTCATATAAATATACAGTATGCAAATATTTTGAAAAATATTTAGTCATTCACCCTAATGTAATTTTATAACCCAGTCTCACGGCAGTTCGTGAAATAGTCACGGAATTTAATCTATTGATTTGTGTTCATGGGCACGAATTTTTTTTTCATGTCACCCTGCACGAATTTCCATCTAATGTATTTCAATAGGAAATCATTTTCGTGTCTCTAACACGATTTATTTTGCCATAGGGTACCCGATGCTACACTTTTTTTAAAATTATTTTTAATAAATAATATTATAGCCACAGGGTACCAGATGCAGTATTTTGATTAATATTATTATTGACACAGGGTACCAGACGCAGTATTTTGATTAATAATATTATAGCCACAGGGTACCAGACACATTATTTTGATTAATATTATTATATCCACAGGGTACCAGATGCAGTATTTTGATTAATATTATTATTGACACAGGGTACCAGACGCAGTATTTTGATTAATATTATTATAGCCACAGGGTACCAGACGCAATATTTTATTATATTGTTGACACAGTACCATATGCAGTATTTTGATTAATATCATTATTGACACAGGGTACCAGACGCAGTATTTTGATTAATATTATTATAGCCACAGGGTACCACATGCAGTATTTTGATTAATATTATTTTAGCCACAGGGTACCAGATGCAGTATTTTATTATATTGTTGACACAGTACCAGACGCAGTATTTTGATTAATATTATTATTGACACAGGGTACCAGAAGCGGTATTTTGATTAATATTATTATAGCCACAGGGTACCACATGCAGTATTTTGATTAATATTATTTTAGCCACAGGGTACCAGATGCAGTATTTTATTATATTGTTGACACAGTACCAGACGCAGTATTTTGATTAATATTATTATTGACACAGGGTACCAGGCGCAGTATTTTGATTAATAATATTATAGCCACAGGGTACCAAACGCAGTATTTTGATTAATATTATTATAAACACAGGGCACCAGACGCAGTATTTTGATTAATATTATTATTGCCACAGGGTACCAGACACAGTATTTTGATAAATATTATTATTATTGGCACAGGGTACCAGACGCAGTATTTTGATAAATATTATTATTATTGGCACAGGGTACCAGACGCAGTATTTTGTTTAATATTATTATTATTATTATTATTATTATTATTATCACAGGGTACCAGACGCAGTATGTTTTATTCATTTTTATTTTATTCCATTTTTTCCATGGTCTTGCAGTACAATTACCAATAGATACAAACGCAATAATTTAAACCTGGTTTACGCTTATTATCGTTTTTTTTTTTTTTTTTTAATTATTTAGAAATATGTGATTTTTGTTTTGTTCATGAAAAGCATCTGTAAAGAGGGTTGAGACAACTGGTAACGAGAATATACCTCGGTTAACGTGACTTTTATTTAACGGTGAGATTAACATTGCTTAGCTATTGGTCAAAATGCAACACTGGTGAGTTTACTGATGAGTTCAACTGTGCAGCAATACGTTGTAGGTTAATGCTGCATAATGTATTTTTTTAATTTATATTGGAGATTAGTCTGTGTTGATAAATATGTTATCATTTATTTTATATTTAATGAGTGAAATTATATTCGGTTGCCCAGTTTATGGTAATCATGCTTATCAAAAGCAGAGGTGGGACCAAGTCATTGTTTGGCAAGTCACAAGTAAGTCTCAATTCATTGCCCTCAAGTCCCGAGTCAAGTCCCGAGTCAAGACAGGCAAGTCCCGAGTCAAGTCCCGAGTCAAAGGCAACAAGTCTCAAGTCAAGTCCAAAGTCCTGCAGTTTGATTTTCGAGTCTTTTCGAGTCTTTTTAACAGAAAAATAAAATATATACAGATTAGGTATGGTTGTAAGATCTGTATTAATTAAACAAACCTTTTTATGAAAGAACATTGCTCAGATATATAAAATACAAATGCAATTTTCTGAAAAAGTACTGAACAGTGCTGCGTCTCGTCTTCACAGCATAATGCACAAGAACGAGTTCCACCAAAAAAAGACTCCATTTCGCCTCACATCACACAGAAATTGCAGGTCTACTGCTGTCTAATTTATTAGGTTTAGTTGTGCTATGTTATGTCTTCGGTGATCAACTTGTGATTAACCAAAATTACATAACCTCAATGTGGTAGCAGACCAACTCCTGTATATGCTGCAAAGTTAAATTGAGTGAAATTGGAATTTTGTCAATTGAATCTCGTGTGTGCTAAAGAGATGGAGTTGCAAATCTGTCTAGCAGCAATGTAAAATGGTAGCACATATTGTTAATGAAGTAGGCTACTTCATACAAACAATAACGTTGTTTTCTTCACATAGCGTTGAAGAGCTTTGCTCTCTACCTTGTGTGATGCTCGTGCACAGATTTCCTCTGTTTGTGGACAAAACTGATTGCGACTTCTCAAATATACGCTGCTCACGCGCAAATTTTCTCTCGCTCTCAAAGATGCACTGCTCACACACAAATTTTCTTGAGCGCTCTCAGATATTATATGCAAACTCACAATTTGTGTCGTGTTCCCTCTTCCTTTCATGCTTTTTGATATGATTCATATTGCTGCACTGTTTAATAACAATACCCAAAATACTAAAATAGACTTACATATTAAATGTTTAATCTAATGAACCATAACATTTTTGGTTGTTTTATATGATGAGATATTTTCAGTTTCAAACACTTAAAGACAGAGAATAGACCAGTGGTGCCCCCCTGAAAATTTGCTTAGGGGTGGCCAGAAGAGGCCAGCTTCGTCAGTGGCACCAATCAATCCACAATAATTTAGTGGCTGCTATTTATTTATTGAAATATTGCATTGTATTGCATTTATGCAAGTAGATTTAAATAAATAATGTCAACAGCAAAATCATATCGGGGTGGCTAGAGTTTACACAGGGGAAACACCCCTTGTAAAGGGGTTTACACCACTATAAGGCACCCCTGGAATAGATGTTGGATGTAAAGAATACATTTTATTTTAAAAGCATTTAAACAAAAACTAATGCAAGCGGAAATGTAACTGTGATAAAATAAGGAAACACTTGATAAGGTATTATAGCCTACTGTACTATTCACTCTTCAAATAAATCTCACTATCAATCTCATTTTATCATGGCAGCTAAAATAAAGTAAACTAGTGTCTGCTGGCTTCCACTTTGCTGATGAGATTGTGGAGGACATTTTCCATGTCATCCTCTTCATTTTGAGGAAAGCTGTTCCACAAGGGCCCCTAAACACGTATATTGGCATGTACTGTGTTTTGAACAGTAGCCTACTACAGTAAAGAACTTCAATTGATCAGTTGTGGTAATACTATAGCTGCTATGGTAACACAAGTGTAATATAAACAAATTACCCAGTGCTGTATTATTTTACAATATAGGGTATTTTATACTACAAATCACTACACTTTACTGTAGTAAAACTACACTTTGTATTTTATCTGTTCACTATTGTTAATACTACTATAATAAGTATAATACAAGTATACAACAAGTATAATACTCAAAAACACTAGATTTTATTAAAGAATTTACCTTAACCTTTTAGTTTTTGGTGTATTGTAAATAAATAGTAAAGCAAGAAAGAAACCATATCAATATTCTTGGAATAACCCTTCGCTAAGCCTCGCCCTCCTTAGTTACTGTTGCTACGCCTGTCAAGCTTTCATGCCTGGCACATCTCTTACAGTGTGTATGCGCTGGTGTCAGACATTCCCAAGGATTTATTAGTCATTTTTGACAAACAGGTGAGATATCTGAGAAAGCCAGACAAAAGAGGACTGCAGTATACATTACAGGGGTATATTCACAACATAATAGCAACTGATTAGAGAATAATTTTATCAAAATTGAAGCAAGGTTAGCCTAGCAACCTCATATGCTGAACATTCAACAGCATAGTTCATGCACAGCAGGAGAGGTGAAATTATAAAATAATATAATAATCTAAGAAACTGATAGATTTGTGCCGAATATTAGCATCATTGACCCATAACAGTGTACAGTACCTATTACTGTCAGCATGTTTGTGTGCTCTTTATCCAGTTTTTATTCAAACTTGCAGTTAAGTGGAAGAAAAAAAATTGAAATGCAAATCAAAGTATAAATAACAGAAGTGAACAAATAGATATTTCCTACCAGCAAATATTAGTGTATGTATTTATATGCGTTACAATGGCGAGGGTTTAAACTAAGCAGTGCTCATAATATCGAGTGGAAAAAAAGAAAAAGACCGCTGGTAAACATAACCTGCTTTTTTTTTATAAGAACACAGTTTAGATCTGTTTAGGATAAGAGGAGTGTGAGTTATTGCCACCTATCACTGAATGTGAATATCGAAAACAAAATCAACTTAGCTGTTAACTCCTTTACCGCCCCTCACACCAAGTACACCCGTCTGCAGCCCGCAGATCGGGGCGGGGCTGAATATGGGGCGGAGCTGATTGTGCAGCCCCGCCCATAAATGGGCGAGACTGAACATGTCACTCCGCCCACAAGTCTTTCATTGGTTCATGGAAACAGACGTTGATGTAATGTATGCTTTCGATTCCGGTTTTCATCTCTGCATGGTAAGTACACATCTTCTGTCATGTAAATGGTCAAATTATAGTGCAGTACACCTCACGTATTATGTGTCATTTATTTAATTAAAGGCCTTTAAGGAGATATGAAGTTTTAAAGCCTAAAAAAAAATGTTTTCTGTGTTAGGGTTGGCGTTTTCCAGGTTGATCGTACAGTTGGTGGTTTTATTCACTTAGAAGAATAATGTAAACTTTAAAGAGTTTTGAGCAAAACAGTTCATCACATGAAGTTTATTAATATCAAAGATAACAAAATATATTTTTCTTTGTGGCATGTTCTCTAATTGATATACTCTGGTAATGTTAATGCTAAATATGTACAATATAAAACTTGATTCTAAACTTACTGATCTATACTACATTCTGTTTGCAGATCATTGGCATTGATATATATAGTCATCACTATGATTCCTGTGGAGCATATTCTCTGTTTTATTTTATTTTACCTCAGTTCTTTCTCTCTTTTGTTTTAATAGATTTGTGCATTTAATAATTTTTAATATATTTATTTACACTTCATGTTCTCTCTTTTTTTTTTTTTTTTTTTACTTTATAACCCATGCATGAAACTTATGCAAAGGGGAATGTGAGGAGGGGCATGCCTAGTATAAACAAATTTAATTCTTTGAGTTTAACTTTAATATACTGTATGTTAAGCGACATGTTGATGATTGTTGGTTATTTTGTACAGATGCCGCCTGAGATCCTGTAGTGTATCCTACTGAGAGTTGTCACACAGGATGGTGATGGGACATTTCTGCAACTCTCACTGACATCCAGGACCTTCTGAGCAATTGTCATTCATTCATTCATTCATTCATTCATTCATTTTCTTGTCGGTTTTGTCCCTTTATTAATCCAGAGTCACAACAGCGGAATGGACTGCCAACTTATCCAGCAGGTTTTTACGCAGCGGATGCCCTTCCAGCCGCAACCCATCTTTGGGGAACATCCACACACACACACACTCATACACTACAGACAATTTAGCCTACCTAATTCACCTTTACCGCATGTCTTTGGACTGTGGGGGAAACCTGAGCACCCGGAGCAAACCCAGGCGAAGGCAGGGAGAACATGCAAACTCCACACAGAAACGCCAACTGAGCCGAGGTTCGAATCAGCGACCCAGCAACTTTCTTGCTGTGAGGTGGCAGCACTACCTACTGCGCCACTGCCTCGCCAAGCCATTGTCAGTAATCCAAAATTCAAGAAGCAGGCTGTGTGTGTGTGTGTGTGTACACATGATAAAGAGTACAGAATATGCCAAGCACTTTTTACTGCAGATTGTTACTAATGCTGTAGTGGAATTTCCCTGTAAAAAATATATAATTGTTTTTATGTTTATTAAAGATATTAATCACAAACTGCTGTATCTTAAATTATTATTATTTTTTTCTATAAATTGTCAGTCTTCCTTTTGTACGTGTGCATGTGCATACACAGATGTTCTGTAGGTGAGACATCTGACATCTAAAAAACACAGATCTGCCAGATTTTTACTCGAACCGAGAAAGAGGGACTTTCAACTGACTGTATTGCTTTGTGTTGGTGTTTTACTGAAGATGAAGTTGGTATTTATTTCTCAGGATTTGTCAAATAAAAAAAATCTGAAGTTTACACGAGTGCTGCACTTATTAATGTCAAATTTATTTTCATTAATTTGTGTCCTGATAGATAAGTAATAAATAAAACTGGCCGTTTGTGCCACACTATTAATATAATATTAAGTGTATTTAATATTCTAATTAAATGAAATAGAATAACAATGTTGTATGTGACTCTTAATAACCAAACAAAATCATTATAAAAAATATTTTAAAAGATCTACAGTGCAGAAATGGACACAGAAGGGTTGTTAGAAAGTGGTATTAAAGTATTTACCCTGCATTTACAAATAATACAAAAATAAAACCAAGAAGACTGCATTTTAAATCAGTAATATTAGATTATGAAATTATTTGTAACTTATTAATTAAATTGTAGAACAGATATCAAAACTACCCAGTAGGTGGCAGCAGAGCACTGTCTTCATTCAAATGGAGTAACTGAACAAAACTTTAATGGATTAGTAAATAATAAATAATGAAATTGATTGCATTCATAGATGACACACCATGTAATATGAAAAAAATTAATATAAAATTTTACTCATGCTGGAACATTTACATATAACAGATCATATACATGTATATTCATAGCAGCATCAAAGTAAAAATAAATCCATTATATGATGAAATAATCTGATTTAATAAGTAAAAAGGTTACAAACGTATACTTCCCTTAATAAATAATAGCTTATTCCTGCTCTTAATAAAACTCAAAGCAGTGCAGTATTGAAAGAAAAACAATTGGACACATGCCCAATATTTTTAATAGACTTAAATCAAAGTATAATTTTAATATTTTCAATTGTAAATTTTCCAGAGAACTCTTCCATTCAAAGGGAAAAAATTAAACTGAACTAAAAACACTGCATTTTTATTTATTTATTTTTTTTCTCTCTCCATCTTTATTTGTTGTAAATATGCAATATGCATTTGCATTTTGAAGCAAAATAATAAACCATTAAAATATCAGAACTAAAATCACTGCGTTTCTGAAGTGACACCATTGTGAAAAGAGTCTTTTGAGTCTTTTGTAATATTTTTTAGCAGGAAAAATACCATTATGAAATTCACATAACTGTTAACATAATTAACATATAAAACGCTCAGCAAGAATGTCCACTTTTGTGCATTTCTGTGTTTATTAACAATAAAAATAATATTTAAGAAATTGTACATGCATTTCCTGTTTACTGACACTACGTAGTGGGCATTCACGCTATTACGTTTCCACTAACCAATGAAATTACAGATGGGCGTGGCTGAATGTGCAGCCCCGCCCCACATTCATCCCCGCCCAGATCTGCGAGCTGCAGACAGGGGCTTCTCCCTCACACAGCTTGATCCACGCTGGCATTTCTCCACTTGGGCTTTAGGTTTTGAAAAGGGAAAGATCCCACCACCCAGTCCAAACTTTTAGGATAGCGGGTGTCAGATTTGCACAATCCAATAATTGCGCAACGATTTGGCTTGTTTCCCTCCCTCGAAAGCTTGACAGAGCCCCTGTCCGTAGCCACGATTGGTAAGCCGCGATTGGTGGGTGGCGGTTTTTGGGCGTGGCTTAGCGAAGGGTCAGTTTAAAAGGAGGATCCCGTGAGAGCAAAAGCACTAAAGGTATGAGACGCCATCGTAAACAAAAGTCAAGCGAACGCAAAGAGACTGAATGCACGAGCGAGAGAGAGAGAGAGAGAGAGGTGTATGTTGTATGTGAGAGAGAGAGAGAGACAGAGTATTGGCACGCGAGTATTGGCTCGATCTCAAATTCAAATTCTCTCTGCGTTCGCTTGACTTTTGTCCACTCCGGCGCCTCATAGTAGTCACGTTGGATACTGTCGAATCAAAACAATCTACCGTGCTTTGATTGGATGTCATGCCGAAAGCGCGCATGCTGTCACACACACACACACACGCGCGCATGCTGTCACACACACACGCACACATAAACGGGGAGAGAGAGAGAGCGGTCCATGTCAACATACTTTTTTATCTTTGGGCTTTTCATGGGAAGCAGCAAGTCTTTACAAGTCAATAGGGGCAAGTCCTAGTCAAAGTCTGAGTCATTTATGTTCAAGTCCAAGTCGAGTTGCAAGTCTTTTTATATTTTGTCAAGTCAAGTCTAAAGTCATCAAATTCATGACTCGAGTCTGACTCGAGTCCAAGTCACATGACTCGAGTCCACACCTCTGATCAAAAGTGATCAATTTGTTCATTTTTTACTTTAAAAAATACTACATTTAAAGTACTAAGTTTAAAAAATTTTTTAGCTGATATTTTTATTATTAAATTATTCATTGAAGTTGGGGTCATTGCATGTTGCAATCTATTTTTTTTTTACAGTCTATGGCATGGGTGGGCAAACTCGGTCCTTGAGGGCCGGTGTCCTGCACAGTTTAGCTCCAACCCTAATCAAACACCTGCTTATAGATTTCTTGTGATCTTAAAGACACTGATTAGCATGTTCAGGTGTGTTTGACTAGTGTTGGAACAAAACTCTGCAGGGACACCGGCCCTCCAGGAACAAGTTTGCCCATCCCTGGTCTATGGTCAAAATCCCAAGGTTCATTGCAATCCCAAGGTCCACTGCGGTTTTCCACTCCATCGGTAAGTAAAAAGTAAACAAATGTTGATGATTTGTTGATTTAGATTAGGGGTTTGTAAGGTAGCTATCTCCTGATGCAGTAAATGACTGCAGATTTGATATAAGTAAAGCATGTACTGTAAACTAGTGACGTTATCTAATTACATCCAAGTTCATTTAAAAAATATTTTTTCCCGAAATAATCGTGAGGAACATCAAGATTACCAGATTGTTGTTTTTCACAATAGTAATCGTCCAAAATCTAAATAAATTATGCAATATGCAAAAATATGTTACCTCTAATAATACAATAGTATTCATAACTTCATCTACAGTAGGTGAGAGTTCAAAGTGACTATTACCGCCGGGGCATTTACTGCCGCCGTTTAAAATTGCTGCCGCTCTGTTTTTAGTGTATGACTGCAGTTTGTCAATAAGCCGCCAGGGGGTTATTGTAAACTTTTTAAGTGCAAAGAGGACTCGTTTTGGAAAATAGAATTGAAGAAAAAAGACAACTAAAATGAAAGAACAAACATTCAGTACAAATAAGTATGCCTAAATAAATAAATAAATAAATAAAGCAGTCTAATAGCCTAAATATAGAGAGATGTTCAGTGTTTGCTATTTTGATAGGACTAAGAAAAGACATTTTCATTTATGTTTTTATTTACGTTTTTATTTACATTTTCGATGTTGATTATATTTTACTATCTCATTTTATGTCTCAATTACTGTACATAATAATAAAAGAATAATGAAAATAAATAAATAATAAAAATAGGCCTAAATTAATCATTTATTTAAAGACATTGTGGCGAAACACTGAGAAACAGTCAGGCGCATGGTCTAAAGAGCTTAAGTTTAATGCTGCTTCATCCAAAGCAAAAAATTAAAGTGACCTACCTCAAGGAGATCACTAAAAGTAGCCTATAATAAAAATAATTTTGCCGCAGGACATAAATTAAATCTCGCAGGTTTATTTTTAATAATTTAGTTTCAGTTCAGTTTTTTTTGTTTTAAAACGTCAATGTTCTGCTTTAAAGTATAACAGTTGTTTTGTTTTGGTTTTTTTACTTAATGGCTCAGTATGTTTTGTATTTAATTTCAATTTCAGTCACCTTGCATATGCGTGTAAAATATAATGCGCGCATAACCTCGGAAAAAGAAGAAAAAGCTGTCAGTTAGAGCTAATTCATCAAAATTAGCTTTATTAAAATACAGCATGTATGTTAATACAGGCAGAGTGTGAACAAACTCAAGGTGAGGCTAACATATGCGCTTGCCTTTTGATGCAATTAAAAAGATTTGCGGCCTTTTTATAGGCTACAGGCTACTATGGTGTATAATAATGTTTTTTTTTTTTGTATGGTAAAGGACAATGCACAATAATCGTCCAAAATCTAAATAAACTATGCAATATGCAATAAATGTTACCTCTAATAATACAAATGTATTCATAACTTCATCTACAGTAGGTGAGAGTTCAAAGTCACTATTACCGCCAGGGCATTTACCGCCACCGTTTGAAATTGCTGCCGCTCTGTTTTTAG